GCCTGCCGCTACTCACCCTAGTTCCGCAGGCACAGCACCGTCAGTCTTGGAAATAGACAATGTACTCCCTGTCCTGCCAGTTATGGCTACAGCCATTCTCTGTGTTTGGGCCGCACACACCACTGTAGTTTCCCCAGAGGTGGCAGCCTTCGCTGCAGAACTTCCCGAGGTGGTGGCGCCCACTCTACTCCCCGAATCTGATCTCAAGTCTAGCCTAGAGGAGCCTTTGGGCCGTGCCTCTGCTATTGTTGTTCGCTGGTGTTTTGACCCTAAATGCCTTGGAATTAGTTCTGGAATAAAGCCTTGCATTCCCTGCAAACATGTCCTTGCGGGGCCCATGCTGGCTTTTTGCGGGCACAGTGGGCTAGGGCCAGCCCACACCAAACCTAAACAGGCCCAGTGCGGGCTTGCCCAGGTGAGACCCACAGCTTTGGGCTCACCGCAGGCTCTCTGTGAGCAGCCCACACTATGGGACTGCCCACATTAATCCAATGATGGCCCAGTGTGGGCCAGACATGAGCCTGTTAATAAGAATTTTGTGGGCAGTTTTCTTCCTTACCACTAGGGATGCTAGAGTGTTTTAGGTTTCCTTAAGTAAAGCCATGTGGTAGAGAGAGTTAGCAATAGCAAGCAGCAGTAGCCAGCATGGCTCACCTGCTGAAAACATTGTGCTGTGTCCTGGTTGGGTAATGTGTCATTTCAAGCCCAGTCTAAAGGAGTTAAAGAGGATTTAAATGTGCACATTGCTGATGTTTTTTGCAGAGATGGTACATGTATGTATGGCCTATGTTTGGATTGATGCTGAGAGTTTAACACAGTGTATTTGTATGCATTTTAGAAGGACTCGTTATTGGTGAGGTTACCATATCATGGTCCAGTTTGAATATGGATTTAACGTTCTTTTCGACATGATACCATAGTCTGAACTATTTTTGACTGTTCGTTAGGAAAAGTCTGGTGTTTGAGAGCTGTGGCTTGTTTTCATTACAAGAGGTTGGATTATTCATTTGCTATCAGCCAACTAAAACTATGGACACTGTTTGGACATTGATGTACTACAGACGAGACTTTCGCACACATCAACTTTCACATGACGAAATCCTACAATCTTACATGACTTTGTTTGCTTTTTTTTTTTTGTACTTTTGTGTATTTACATTTGTGGCTATATGTTGCTGTATTAACCTGAATTGAATGTTTTCTATTTTGTATTTAATAAATCCATTGATTTTAAATTCCTTTTGACTACTGTACATTTTTGACAATATAGACATTAGTTATGTGGTGACTGCATCCATTTCAGATGTATAATAACTGATTTTCCTAAAGACTTAAGTTATAGTAGCTGAAAAGTATTTAAAGTGAAACAGATGTATTGTTATAGATCAGGGGTGCATCCTGTTCCTGGAGACTGAATTGGGCACCCCTGTTGTAGATTAATAGTGTGGGCTAAGTGAGGGCTGCCCGTGCAGGGCCAGCACTAAGGGGCCAACGTTTTGCCAATGAGCAAAATCTCAGATGCCCTGCACTGGCAGCCCGCTGGGTGCCCTTAGGCTTGCCCTGAGGCTTGTTCGCAGGGTTTGGATCCCCACACCGTTGTCACGCCTCCTCTTTACAGACAGACAGACAGATAGATAGAATATAAAAACAAATGACCAACAAAATGTCCCTTCCAATGTTAAAATAAAACCTACGGCCTTGCCAAGAAGCCTCTTATCGGTGTGTCTAGTATTTCAGGCCATGAGACAGATCCAGAGTGATTGTCCTCCTGTAGGAGGGTGCCATGCTCAGTGCTGAGAGCTCTGCACCACCATCAATCATGTTTTATGTCTTGATTAGGGCTTTTCCTCTGACCTCTGCTATACGGTTTGAAGGATGTTACCTGCTCCAGGGTGTTTGGTGGTCTGACTCATCTCAGCCCATTGTCAGAATCTGCTTGAAGCTAAATTCAGTAGCACATATAGCCTTAGCATAAACGCTGAGCTATTTTGAGCACAGTGTAGCTGCGTATTTTCTAAAATAGATCTCAGCTATGTGGACCACAAGAGAGCTCTGCTTTGACTAGGGGGATTAAAATGCCCCATCATGGATCTGAGTTGCTTTTTATCCAGACATCTGAATCTGTGATGGCAGCCTGTTAACACCGCAAACACCCCAAGGAGAGAGCTATGGGCTAAAGAGTCTTGCTTGGGATAATGGGGATTTTAAGATGATAAGATGGGAACAAAAGAAAATTCGGCCTGCTTGCTTGTTAGAGTTCACTCAAAAATAAAATTCTGTCATTTATTTTTCCATGCAACAACAATGAAAAATTCAAGGATGTCAACCTTCAAAAAGAACGAAAAAAGTAGTCCATCTCACTCGTCTGCTATTTGCAGCCATATGACAGCTTTGTGTGAAGAACAAGTCATTTTCCACTGATAATTTTCCCTTTAAGCAAGCTGTGAAACCTTGAAGAAATCATTTAGAATTAATCAACCATTTAATTGAAAAGACTCAAAGGACCGATTTCTTTCAAAAATATGACACTGATTTTTTTCATTAAGCTATAGGTTGGATTTTGTGTGACTTCAATTTATTTGGAATATACAGCAGTGCATTTTGCTGTTATTGTGTTTTGTGTTCAGAATTCTTTACAACTGCGTGACAAAAAGAGCCACCACATTGCTTCTTTTTTTTGTGTTGTGCAAAGTTACGCATATTTGGAAACAACATGAGGGTGAGGACATTTCATTTTTGGGTGAACTATCCCTTAAAAAGGCAAGCTAAATAAACCCAAAAATCCTTTGTTAAAATTAATTGTTACAGAGCCTGCGGCACTGCAGAGGAGACTCTTACAGTTTAAGTGTGAATTGGTGTCATTAGTAAGTACAAAGAATATTTATGAGGGAGCTTTTTGCTTGACCTTCTCCAACAAGACCTTAAAATGTATTGTGTTGTTTTCAGGAAACGATACACCCCACACTTCAGTCTGAACAACCAACTTACAGTTAAAGCTGTAGAACTAAAGACCTTATTAATGTAAACGGCAAATACTGTAGTAACACTTGTCAGCAGATTCCGGGAACACTCAAACCCATAAATACAATTTACTGTCACATAGGACTAGAAAACAGAGAAGAATAATTATAAGCTAATGTGCTTCAAGCCTGGTATTATCTTAGGGGCAGGTTTGGATTTAGATAAAACCAAGATTGAGACCGGGAAGTCTTGTAACAGGGTGTAACACCCCTGTGGACTGGTTGTTGTGGTTTCTTCCCCTTGTGTTGGTTTAGCCCGTCTAATTATTAGTTAATCACCTCATTGTGCTCACCTGTCTGTCCCTCGTTAACTGCCCTATATCTGTTCCTGTCTCTTGTGTTCTAGTTTGTCGGTTATTGTGAATGTTACCCTGAGTGTGTGTATGTCTCACCTGTCTGGATCTGCCTTGTGTCTACATTAAATCTCTTTATCGGAACCCTTGTCGTCCTCGTCATCCTGCCTGCCTCCACACACCTGGACCGTGACAGAATAACCGACCTCAAAAAAAGTAAAGTATAGCGGCGTCTTTCCCTTCGTTTGTTTTTTCCGGTTTTTGTCAGTTTTGATTTTGTTTTGTTGTTATGGATTACCCTGCCTGTCCCATGGCCCGGCCAGCCAGCTTTTCGGGTGAGGCAGCCTTCGGCAGCGGGTTCTTGCTGCAATGTTCCCTCTACCTGGAGATGCAACCACACCTGTTTGTGACTGAGCAGGCCAAAGTGTCATTCATTATCTCGTTGCTGTCTGGACGAGCCTTGCAGTGGGCCGAAGCCTTGTGGACTGCACAGAGCCCGGGGATTCACTCGCTGGAGGGTTTTGTGAGACACTTCCGGGAGGTATTCGGCCAATCGACCACGGAGGTCACAGGAAACGAGGAGGAGAGACCTCTGGATCCCCAGTCTAGCCCCGGAAGGGCTCCTGATCCCCAGTCTAGCCCAAGTCCTCGTCATCCTGCCTGCCTCCACACACCTGGACCGTGACACAGGGTGAGTTGCATCATTCTCAGTTTACACAAACAGAAATGAGCTAGAGGGGTGAAATTACGTTCGTTCATGTCTACCACACTCCTGGGGGGACAGTCTTAAGGATTATGGTTTTCAATGTTTATCTGCTGGTTTGAATTAAAATGTTTCCTACATGTTTTCCATTTACACTTCCATTCAAAAATTTGGAGTCGGTAAGATTTTCGAAAAGGCATCTCTCACACTGACCAAGGTTGGAATTATTTGATCTCAAATACAGTAAAAACAATAATATGTTAATAATAATATGATATGAATAATATGAAATAACCATTGTTTTTTTAAAATAAACATTTAAAATATAATTTCTTCCTGCAATGACAAAGCTGAATTGTCAGATATTGTCTTCAGTGTCACATGATCCTTTGGAAATCAATATAATGAAACGTCTTATGATCAATGCTGAAAAAAGATGCTTAATATTTTTGTGAAAACCGTGATACATTTTTTTTCAGGATTTATTCCCGTTTCATTCATTGTTTTGTTTTTGTTTTTTACAGTGTGATCTCTCTTTTCTTTAAAAACAGTCTTTAATGTTACAGCGGAGGTCTGACATAAATACAATTCTGGATTGACAGCCAATCTCGATTCCCATAGAGCTGAACATCACTGGCTCAATAAAGGAATCAGAAGGTTATCCAAGTCCACATTTTATATATCTTGAAAGTTTTATGGTTTTCAAAACACTACAATGCTGGAGCTAGTTAACAATTGACAGTCTGCCTTTTAGTCTGCCCGAGTCCAGCTGCTTACATCAAATTTTAACTTCGGAGCTGATGTCTTTGTACTATGAAGGATTTTTTTTGAAGCATTGCTGATGGATTGCATCGTTTTCTTTTTCTTTTTTTTTTTTTTTAAATGTCATGTCGCTAAGTAACTGTCTCCCTTTACATCAGTTTCACTCCTGCCCTCCTATCCTTGACCTCCAACCAGCCTCCCAACTGGAGATGGGCCACTCACCGTACTCGCTGTCATAGAAAACGATGAACTTGTGCCAGCGGAGTTCAGAGACGAGCGTGATCATGACATCATTCAGACGCACAGGAGGGCGGGCAGCCAGCGTGTAGCGCTCTCCGTCGGGGCTGGGATTGAGCTGGCACTCGGCACGGGGTGTGCCGTCTCCGTTCCTCTGAATGAACAGGTGAGGAATGTGCATGGCATCCGTGAGAGACTGTAGCGCATTGGCTGCAGCACATCCTGTCGATGACACCAAAGCCAGTATCCCCTGATTCATGAGCTCACAGGCTGGAGAACGAAAGGGAAGAAAAAAAAGAAACACAGTTAGGCTCGAAAATTAGATTGTCCATGTGTCATAGGTACTACTTTACAACAGTTAAGCACATTGACCATTATAGAACTTATGGTCAATTTTCATCAACCAGTGGCAATTAATGCAGCAAATGTCAGGGTCATCCCGTAGAGAACAGGTGGGATAATGTGTCCAGATTTCACAGGGCAAATGCAATTCTCTTCAGTGTATTGCCATATGCTACTAATGTATTTCCTCTGTTAAACACCAGTGTAACAATTTCTCAAGGAAATCTAGTTAAAATGGACATAAATAATTTATGATATATGACATTTTATAGATGTTGAGCCGCAGGTTAGGAAACATACATTTATACATATGGTTACCCTTGTTTCTTACAATGATAAAAAGTGGATTTCAAATTCAAGGCTGTTTCAGGGTGCATATCTGACAATGTGCCTATTTAAAAAGGGCATTGTGGCATAGAAAAATAGTAGTAATATTCTCAGCTTTGTACACCGGAGGATTGTTCCCCCGTAGTATATGACTACAGCACAAAATCATTACATTTATGCACAAATGCATCTTGGAAAAGAGGTTTAAGTCCAAAATCATCTGACTTCTTTCATTCTTCATTTAAACAGTTATTTCTAATTCTTTTCTCATATTTATACAAATCAAAAGTAGTTAGGGTACTTTGTTGTATTTATTTGCACTGTAATGAATATTTTATCATAGATTCCAAAAAGGGGGACTGCAAATTAATTTCATCTGTGACAGCACAAAAAGTTTTACAACTGCTGAAGCTGGAAAATCAATTATTAATAAAACCAAAACAGCATTCAAAATGCACCAAGCCCACTGTACGGAGAGTGGCTAATGGAGGTGGAATTATTTCTAAGTAAAAATACATAACCCAGTCATTTCTGTAACTTTCATACAATAACTGTTTGTCCTCGTGTCCCCAGAGAGGCTGTGTGCTAGGTTCATTTCAGCAAAGCCTGGATTCAGATTGGCTCAGCACAAAGGTTCTCTAAAGATGTAGGTAGATCAATGGATTACAAATCCCAATGAAAATTAGAGGAAACACACTGATTTTTTTATTTTAAGCAAAGAAACTAATTACTTTTTTCTAAGAAGCTGAGCAAATAATTTTGCACAAAGCCACTAGAGAAAATACTCTGCAAAACATCTGAACAAACACACTTTAAATTGTTATTCCGCTGAATGGATCCACCTTAATTGAATACAAAATACCCTAAAACACTAACAGTCCCCTAACATATAGGCTGCTGAACACAATTCAGAATCCTGTTTTTCAACATCAAGGTTCACCCAAACATCCTTTAAGTTAAAAAAATAAGCCTTTAGACACAAACAACTGAAAAGCTCCAACAAACAGCAGCTCTGTGTGGTTTACAATAGTATAAACAAGATGCAAATTATGAAAATCAATTGAATTTATGGTCCATTACAAACAAGACGATATCTGTAAACCACCCACAAATATCTTAGACTGTACAGAGTTCCATCCATTTCCAATGGTAGTTTAATTTTTAAATGTTCTTTATTTAGTTTAAAGGGATAGTTCAACCAAAAATGAAAATTTGTCAATTTACTTAGCCTCGAATTGTTCCAAACCTGTATGAGTTTCTTTCTTCTGTTGAGCACAAAACAAGATATTTTGAAGATTGCGGGTAACCAAATGGTTGACGGTAGCCAGTGATTCCCTTTCATGGGAACTTCGAACTGCGTCCTCTAGGGGTCGCTATGGGGAACGCCTCGTCGTGACCCGTGTCTGAAGCATACATTGAAAAAACACCAACTCGTTGGCCGGCGACAGCCATGACGTCACTACCGGTGCGACTATAGTATAAATAGGCGCCGGGAGCATGGAGGGCCGGTGTCCTGCAGAGTTTAGCTCCAACCCTAATTAAACACACCTGAACCAGCTAATCAAGCTCTTACTAGGCATAGAAACTTCCAGTCAGGTGTGTTGAGGCAAGTTGGAGCTAAACTCTGCAGGACACCGGCCCTCCAGGACCGAGTTTGGACAGCCCTGATCTAAACGATTAATTTCCCACAAAAAAATCAACAATTTTACTTAAGAAATTTTATTAAACTTGCAACTTTGCCATTCAGTAGTGTACCATAAAAAAAGTATAAATCTAAACAAGCCATTGACGAAATGTAAAACTAAAAGAGAAAAAATTTAAACAAACCTAAATGAAATAAAGAGAAAACAATAACAAACGTCTGAGAAAGTCAGCATGTTCTTATCAATATATCTACATGTTCTGGGCTTCTGTTCATTACAGCTGTGAGTGCAACTACAAAGGGCAAAAAATCTGTTTCAATTACTCATAACATTCATCTAATTTGACATAAAACCAGAATAGCGCTTAGAAAAGTAATATCTTACACAGATCTTACAGATAAATGTGTCTGTTCGTGACTTGGCAAGGTTTCTGATGAGCTTCTTATCGCCCCATAACTATGCAAATAGTGCAATTTTTTATCTTTAAAATGTCTGTGTGTATAATAGAGCTATGGAGGAATATAGGTGTGAAAAGTCTGATAGATAAACGCATCAGCTGATTCACATCACAGAACTACATTTCCATAGATAAATCCAGAAAAAGAAAGATAAGACTGATAGGGGTAGAAATAATAAGAGAGGAATAAGATACTTCAGCCTTCTATGTAATGTTGTCAAGATACAGCTGATAGACAACGGCGAAACAGTCACAACTCCATCAATCGACCAGACAACATCTCCAAATTCAGAGCAAGAGAAACGTCCACAAGCTGCAGGGCACAGCAAAACACGCCACGGGAAACCTATAAGTCATATGAGAATGGCCATTAAACCAACTGATGTGGAAATTCACACTGGCAGGCGTTGTTCGGTGGTCCATGAATGCTACATCTATACATTCTTACGCATCTTGGTGAAGACAACCGCAAAACAAAGGGATAGTTCACCTAAAAATTACATGTCTGTCATCATTTACTCACCCTCATCTTGTTCCAAACCTGTATGACTTTCTTTCTGCTGTGGAACATCAAAAGATATTTTGAAGAACGAAGAATGTTTTTATTCATACAATGAAAGTCATTTGCATCCCACAGAAAAAAAGAGAAGACCTACAGGTTTGATTCAACATGAGGCTGAGTAAATGAAAAATGAAAATTAATTTTTGGGTGAACTATCTCTTTAATGCAGGTTTTCTATCAACATTCAACAGATGCTTCTCAGCCAATCAGAGAAGCGAGATGGAACAACACAAACACGCATCACTACAGTGGGAGTAGAATTAGATTAGAATTTAGTGTAATAATAACTCTGCCACAGCCTCTCTCTCTCTCTCTAAATCCACACATAGCTTCGTACGCAGATTATGGCATATTATGGACTAATACTCAATTATAGAGGCATGATTTTTACGTACAGGGTGAACGGCACTATTCTTTGTAATCCCTGATTTTTGGATTTGGATATTGTGCGTCTCTGCAACGTTGATATAATGCATTTAAAAATGTATTTGTCATGCAGATTAGAGACCTTTATCATCAAACAGGATTTAAAAAATTATCTCAAGGAGAGCTCAAATCAGAGCGCAGGGATAATTCACAATCAGGCATTAACACACGGCCAAATGAAATTAATTAATCCACAGCTCACAGCGCACCTCCAGAGTCTCTGTGTCATTGATTTGAAAAGGCCCCAATGTCGTAAGATTAACTATACGGCAATAGAGACGGACGACGGGTGATTCTCTTACCAGAAATTACATAAATCATGCCGCCAGGATGATTTCACACTAAAGGACAGATGTTTTCATTGGTTTTTGTGAGCAGAGAAAGAGATGCTCAAGGTGTTGTGGACGGGCTTCCACCCAGCAGGGTGCAGTTCGTGGTTTGATAAGGAAACTCTGGCCTTTACGCCCAGTCCATCAGTCTGTGATTACAGCCATGACTTCAAGACTGAATTCAGAATAGAGAATAACAGTGTGTGTATTCAGAATGTGTGGGTGTATGAACTGTATGTGTGTAAGGTGGTTTGTCCACTGAAGCAGCTTAAAAGATTACCAGACCACAAACATCAACCCCTACAAAATCCCATAATCCTGTTGGAATTGGCATCATCAAAGGCATCCCGTGCCTTGTACTATCAGAAGGAAAATGATAGTCCATCTGTGCATGATGAAGAACCCTATAATTAGCATTTCTTTATCCTAAAATACACACATTTAGCCATAAATGTGCAGATTTCAGATTGGGGGGCAGTTTTGTCTTGCTGAGTCTGATATCAGGTACTTTCCAAAGGATGTAGTGTATTATATAGGGCAGATGTGTATTAAAACATACCAAAACATACTATCTGCCATGTTTCTATATGTTCCTTCATTGACATACAGGTGCATCTCAATAAATTAGAATGTCTCTTATGGAGTATTCTAATTTGTTGAGATAGTGAGTTGGTGGGTTTTTGTTAAATGTGAGCCAAAATCATCACAATTAAAAGAACCAAAGACTTAAACTACTTCAGTCTGTGTGCATTGAATTTATTTAATACACGAGTTTCACAATTTGAGTTGAATTACTGAAATAAATGAACTTTTCCACGACATTCTAATTTATTGAGATGCACCTGTACTAACAATAACTATAAAAACAACTTACTCGGGTGGTATACAAGCGCAATTTCACTTTGAGAAACAATGTAAAACAACTCCTTGGTATCTACACTTGAAAAGATTTGCTCAATTCACATCTGTCTGGTTTTTTCTTTCTTAGAAAACTTTCTTATTTTATTTCATACCTGTTGAATTTACGGTTTACAATTTACACTTGCCTGATAAACACTCTTATAAAATTAACCATGGTTTTACTATAGTAAAAGTGGAGTTTTTTTATTACCATTTGTATAACCACAATTTTACTACAAATACCAAGTTTTAAACTATGGCTGGTGTAGCAAAACACAAAACAC